CTTTAATTGTTAGACGTTTAAGTCGGAATAAAGAAAGCAAGCTAAACCTTTTAGCGACGCAAATTCGCAAACAACTTATCTTTCGCAATTGGTTTAAAGTAGCGATAAAGACTTTAAAAGTTTTTATTAATATCAACGGTATAATTAAAAGCAGATCCTTTTTCGATAATAGATCTAAAGTTAACGTAATAAATAAAAAAGTAGCTAAAATAATTAAACTACTTATTATAACGGATTAAGCTTTAATTTACACGACCGTATCCGAGGATCTTTATAACTTTAATAAATAAATAAACGACGTCGAGGTTATTATCAACGGAATTATTAATTACGCCGATTTTTTTATTATTAATAATAGCAATCACGAAGTCATCTTAAGCATGCTTTTCTTTTTAAAATCTTAACTTTTTTTTTTATTTCGATAATAGCACGATAAAAGCTTCTTTTTAAAATTACAATCGATTTACTTAAAAGTAAATTACTATTGCAAAAGATAAGTCGGATTTAATCGAAGACTCGAAAAACTAATAGCTAATATGCAAGCTAAAATAAATATTAAGTTAAAAAAAAGCTTAAAAAGAAATTCCGCTTGTAAATTATAATTCACGAATAGATCGGCACAAAAATAATAAAATCACAAAAAAATAATTTAATTTAATATTAAGCAAAGCTCGCTAAAATTAAAAATACTAAAAATATTTGCAATCAAACTCGATAAATCGGAAAATTTTATATTTATTATCGATAACGATAAAAACCTTTTAAAAAGGAATATAATAAAGATTAATACGATATATAAAAAGAAAGCGGAAAAGGTTAAACCGATAGATTTAAAAGTATCGGATAAAAAGATATTTAAAAAGATCGACGATTAATTTAAGTAAAATAAAAAAGCGAAACCTTTTAAGCTTAAAAGATCTTTTTCGAAATACTTTATTAATAAGTTTTCAAACTTAAAAGTTAAATCGAGATTAACGAAGAAACGATTCGAAGTATTTACGATTAGCTTTTAAGTTATTTTTAAAAAAAAAGCTGCTTTACTAATGCTTTTTAAATCGAAAAGAAGCGATAGCTTAAGATTTTATTTATTTTAATTAAATCCGAAAAGAAGTCATACTACTTTAAAAGATCAAAACGATGCTTTACGAAGCTTAATAAAAGAAAACGTTTACGATATTAAAAGCTTTATAAAAAATGATTATTATTATGCTAAAAGAGCGATTAAAGCAAAAGGTTTTCGAATTATGCTAAAGCTTTTATCGAAATAAATAGTTTATTATAATAAAAAAAGAAAAAGGAAAATATAAGCTAATCATTGCTATAATTAAGATGAACTATATTACGATTAAAAACGCTAATATTGCTTCGAACGTAAACTAGTTTTCGAACGAATTTATTAGTTTTACGATAGTTATATTTTTAGATTTTTTTTTTAAATACGATTAATTTTTTTTCGACGTTAAATTTAAAAACATAATAGCTATTTAAACGCTTATCAAATTGCTTCAAATGACTCGAATACTTATAAAAACTATTAATTCGATCGCTTAATTCGTTAAAGTCATTTATAAAATCCTTATAAATTACATTCTTAACGTTTGCTTGCTTTATATAAATAACGTAAAAATTAAAAGATCGCGATCTTTTTATAATTATAAAAAAGTTTTGCTTAAAATACGACGATTCGTTTTAAAACATATTTAAAATATCGATAAAGTGCTCGTAAAGTTTAAAAGAGTTAAAACGACCGTCGAAACGAAGTCTTAATATTGCATGCTCGGCTTTAATATCGTTAGATTCGTTACGGATAGCGAAAGACGTTATCTTTAAACCGTTAAAATTAAGAAAATACTAAAATAGATTAAATGCGAAGATATATTAAAAGCTCGAGCTTTTATTAAGATCGTAATTTATTATAAAATCTAAATTAAAAACTTTTTTACAATTGCTACTTTAATTTACGCGACGATAAAAAAAAGAATCGAATTCGAATAATTAGAACCTTAATAAAAAGCGATAAAGCTGCTTAAAAAAGCTTTGCTTTTTGCTTTCGCTTTTATTAAGATTAATTATAATAAAAATAAAAATAAATCTACTTGACGATAAACGTTAGTCTTAAAAAATAAAAAGCAGTATTATAGCAAAAGGACTCCGATAAAAAGCGATATCTTATTAAATTCGAAAGTAGTCTTTAAAACTTTGCGGAAAGCAAGTATAACGCGATTAAGCGAAAATGCCGCGATGCTTTAAAAGTTATAAAAAAAATAAAAAACGAATTATACGAAGTTTACTTTATCTTAAAAACCGACGCTAAAGTATTAATTAATTAATTTAATAGATTAGCGAGCGATTTACTTAAAGCTTTCGTTACGAATTAAATTGCGTAAATAAGATTAATAGATTTTAAAATTAAGTATATCTTTAAGATTAAAAACACGGCAGCGAACGGTCTTTTTTTAAAAAAAAAGAGCATCTTTTAAATATTAAAGAAAAAAAAGAAAAAGATATTAACGATTAAGTTACTAACGAGCTAAGCATTGTTTTAATATTTTCGATTAAACGATTCGTAAACTATAATTCACGAATTAAAAAGAGAGTTTTAAAGCACGATTACTCGCTCGACTTTAAGCTTATTGCTTAATTTTTTATTACTTTTAAACGTTTTCTTTCGATCAAGACTTACGATTTTTAAAAGTTCAAGAATAAAGCACTCAATTACTTAATTAAAAATAATTACTTTTATAAGCGAGTAAACAATTTTTATTCGATTAAGCTAATTATCGACGGAACTTGAAAACGCTATACTATTATTTCCGACGCTTATCGAAAATCCGGATATAAAAAAGCTAAATCAACTTATTATCGTACGTTAAAACTCTTTTTTTAAAATAAATGCTACGAAGATTGCAAAGCTTTCGTTTAAAGCTATAAGCTTTATTAAAAACGCAAAGCTAAACGAATAAAAAACCTTTTATACTCGACCTAGCTTATTTAAATATAGTTAAAAGTTAGCTTAAACGTATTACGAGTACTTATTACCGATAAAAGGATAACTTGCTTCGTATTAATTAAAAAAAATTTATTTAAATAGCTAGAAAAGCGATCACTTCGATTAGTTAACGTCGAATTTATTATTAAGTTCTTTTAAAAAAATATCGTTTATCGCTACGGACTATTCGAAAGATTAACTATTAATAAAAGATTCGAAAATAAAGCAATTGCTAAAGCCTTCGCTATTAAGTACTATTGCTGGTATCAATCTGATGATAGTACCAGGTCACGAGGAAGCTTTGCTGATGTTGTGATTGATTGACTTGTATTATCTAGGACTAGGAATTGGGGGCGAGGTTGTAGTGGGAGCATGCCAAGGCTGAGGTGTCCGTGCACTGTGCACGGACCACGCTCTTACTTTACACTTTACTTAGCAATACACCCCTCTGTCGAGGCCTTAAAAGCTCTCGGCAGTACCCCAATTGTATTTAAACTAATATACCTTTTCTGTAGAGTAGAAGTAAAAACACTTCTAAGAGCACAGTCTACTTAATTTTTACCGAATGTAGCAGGTACGACTTCTAGGAGGAGAAAACCTTCTATGACACATCCTTATCACCTTTTGCTAAGAAAACACTCTTTGCTGAGCTCTATAGCTCTAGCACTTTCATTCGAAGCAGTTGTACAAAGGCAGCGTGATCTATATCATTTAGTGGCTTTGTCATACCGTCGGCGACGTTCTTTTTGCTAGGAATATACTATAGGTCGAGTCGTTCTTCTGCTACTTTATGGCGTACGTAATGGAACTTGATATCGATATGCTTGGTTCTTTAGTAGTATTCAAGGTTTTTAAAAAGTGAGAGTGCTCTTTGTGAGTCACAAATCATCTTAATTTTTTTCGCGTCAGCTTTCTTATAGCTAACCTCATTGAGTACTTGCTTAATCCAGGCGGCCTCTTGAGCGAATTTGCACATGGCTACGTACTTAGCCTCGGTTAAGGAAAGAGCTACAATAGTCTGGCGTTTGGAAATGACGTTAAAAACGCCTTTTGCAAAGAAGAATACTCCTCCGCTGTGTAAGACTCGACCTATTCTAGAGCCGGCTTAGTCAAAATCGCAATAGCTTATTAATTTGGTAAGCTCAGCGTCTTTTCTACCAAAAACAATTGATAGCATACGAGTACCTTGTAAGTATTGTAAAACGCGCTTAGCGGCAGCTATATGTTGAAGTGACGGATTAGTCAAGAATTTGGCTAATAGAGAGCAATGGTAAGCAATATCCTACCGAATGTGAATTGCGAGGTACTATAAGGAGCTAACGATTGACTGGTATAATGTAATCTTATACTGAATAGCTTGGCCTTCGAATTTGATTATATGAACCTCGGAGCTACTTGCAAAAAGTGTAGGTGCACTTTTGCAATTAGACATATTAAAACGGTCTAACACTTTATTAATATAAGCGTCTTGACACAAGGTAATAGTGCTAGCTGCTCGGTCTTTGACGATTTTAACTCTTAAGAAGTAAGAAGCCTCGCTAGTGCAAGTGATGTTAAAAAGGTTGTGCAGATCTTTTTTGAATTGCTCGTAAACTGGACCTGATTTGCCGATTACTAAGAAATCGTTAACATACGTAACAACTATGATTCTAAGGTCTCTATTGATATAGACACAGTTGTCAGTTTCTATAAGAGCGAATCTTAGCTTGGCAAGTCGCTTTCGTAGCAACTTCTGCTAAAGGCGTGGTGATTGTTTAAGGCTATATAGAGCTTTGCGTAGCTTTAAGCAGTCTTTATTAGTGAGAGTATAGCCGAATTCGACCTATCTTGGTAGAGCTTTGACATAGATGTCGCTATCAGCCTTATTATTTAAAAAGGCAGTGTTAATATCGAATTGTTAGACCTCTAGGTCGTACAAGGCGGCTAAAGCAATTGCAAGCTTTTAAACAGCTGATTTGCATACTTTAGCGAAGGTCTGATCGTAATCACGGCCTTTTTGCTGTGTGTAGCCTTAGACTACGAATCTCACTTTATATCGCTCGATCTTTTCGTTTTTATCTTTCTTAGTCTTGAATAATAGACGTGAGCTTAAAATGCGTCCACCTTTAAGGATATCACGCTTCTTTATAATTGACCACGTCTCTTTGCGTCGAAGAGCAAAGTACTTTTTGATAATAGCTTAGCGCTAGTTATTTACATTTGAGCGTGCAAGAGCTTCTTCTATGGTTTAAGGATCGTTTGCAAATGGTGACTTTTTAGCAGCGTTGAAGTAGGTCTATTGGTAAGTGTTTGTATTAGTTCTTTCTTTAATGATTACGTTTGCTGATAGAGCTGCAGCAGCGTTGCGAGTGCTGGACCGAGTATTTACTCGTTCCGAAAGGGGAACTTGAGGGTAGATTTTGCGTGGTCTCCGAATGGTAAGAGCCTCTGGAGTCTTATCATTTACCTTAAGGGAAACAACCTCCTCTTCGACCTCCTCCTCAACCTCCTTTTTATCGTTTGGGGAAGGAGCTTTATAAGGTTCAGGGAGCTTGTCGGTAGCCTCTTCGTCTTCAGTCTCTTCCAAATTATTATCGAAATTTAGTCTATCTTGGACGTAATGATCAAGGCTTTTAAAGGACTTTTGATCTTGGTTGTACTGGCTAAAGGTAAGCTGACTGCGGTCAACTTAGTTACCTTTAGCTTTAGATAGCACTTCCTTTTCTTCTTCGAAGGTAGGGTCTATAACGAGTCTATCCTTATTAAAACGAACATAAAAGATACGAACCACCTTCTTATTAGATCGGGAAGGGACGTAGACTCGCTAGATGTTATTGCCTTCGAAACCAACTAATATTCCGACCTTAGCTCTGGGCGCTAGCTTGCGACTTTATACGCGGCGTTCAGGCTTAATTAAGACGTAGACTTTGCATCCGAGTACTCGTAGGTGCTTGACCGAAGGTTTATGGATCACCCTTAGCTTAATATTATCTTAGAAAGCCTCGTAAAAGGTCTTTCCATTTAAAAAGGCAGTGTTAGCTATAAGATTGGTGATATGAATTACTGCTATCAAGCACTCGGGCTATAAAAACTCAGGAATCTCTTGGTCAATGGTTGCAATGCGTAGCTTTTCTATCAGAGTACGAATAGATCGCTCTGATCTACCGTTTTGCTCGAGGGTGTAAGGTGTCGATTTCTTAAGTAATATACTTAAGTGGTCTGCTAACTCTTTCATTTGCTTAAAAGAGTATTCTTTACCTTCGTCGCAGCGCTATACCTTAATAGTGCGATTGTATTAGGTCTTAGCAAAGCGAATCATTTTCTTGTTGACTATAAAAGCGTCACTTTTAATTGCGTAAGTGTATCTCTACCTAGCTATTATAGCTAAGCAAGTGAAGATTAAGGCGTATTTGTGACCGTGAATCCTAATAAGAGTTAGATGGACCACATCTACGTGTAGCTCTTATAAAGCAATCGTAGGTCTTTTGCGTGCTAACACCTTATTAGTCTTCTTAAGAGGACGACCCTTTTCACAAGGGGCGCAAATACGTGTCTTACTAGTTTTAGTCTCTTTGAACTTCATTTTTATAACACTACCTTAAGTGTCGCGAACTGCTTATAAGCCAGCATAGCATATACGTCTGTGCCAAAGTTCAATATCAATAAAAGCCTTCTTAATAGCTGCAAGTAAGGCGTGGCCGGTGACAAAAGCAGAAGGTGCGCAAGGGTCATTCTTAATGATGAATAGCTTAGCATCCACCTTATAGATCTTTTTGTCGATAGTCGTAAGCAACTTACCTCTTTTCAAATAACCATTGATTTTGCTTAACTTCAGACTTGAGTACAGATTGACGGGACTTTAGGGCATATAAAGCGTGTTTTTATACTCAATAACGCTTGCCAAGCTTCGTGATCTAAGGCATTTAATAATACAAGTGCTAATACCAAGAGGGCGAACTAGGCCTCTTATAGTATTTATAAAGGGTAGATCCTTTCTAGTTGTATAAATAGTAAACTTAAAGAGATCATTGCAAACGTGATCAGTTGCTTTTATATCGTAAAGCCAACGATTCTTGTTTGACGATGTGTAGAATGCTATGCTACTAGCATCAACTAGAGGTTCTTTAATAAGAAGGAGCGCGTGGGAAAAGATCTTTCCGTCAACTTCCTTATCGTCCTTCTTCTTGTTGTTATTTCTTCCACTTTTCTTATTCTTAATACGCTTGAAGTATAAGATGGCCTTCTTGCTAGTTCTGTTCTTAAACGCCTCTCGTAGCTCTTTGTTGATGACGAAGCAATCCTCAGAGGGGTATAGAGGTTTGGGCTGCTTGCAATGCTTGCAATCAGGTCTTTTGTTTGCAACTTATTGTAGCTTCGATTTGTTTGCTGCGTTTCTACTTCTATTGCCACCTTTGTTTCCTTTTTTGTTGTTCGCATTCGAGTTATTCGAGTTCGAGTTTAATTTGTTACCGTATAAGGCCTGACCATTGATCGTCTTGGTTGAGTCGTTGGTTCGAGCCTCGTCGGTTATGTCCTTAATAAGAGATTCGAGAGTGATTTCTGCTTTCTTTTGTATAGTAGTCGCTATCCGTAGATTCGATCTTTAGCGCTCAGCCCAAATAAGCTATTTCTTTAAGCAAGCAGCGATAAACATCACGGGATTCTATTGTAAGGGCGGCGCAATATCTAGCGAATCAAGCTTCGTAATTGCAATCTTAAATGCTATTACGAACTTTTTTAAAGAGGGGTAATCGTCGTATTTAATTGTAACATAGGTCTGAATAGCGTTGTATTCTAAGACCGTACCAAAACCCTCATATTGATATCGTAAAGACTCTTACATATCTAAGGCAGTAGCTTTACTTTATGTGTGTCTTAAAGGACCAGCCTTGCAATTCAAGGTAATTGCAAGCTTCATTTGTGACTCTTCGGTATCTTAATCTAGCTATTTTTGCAGGTCTTTTGCCTTAACTATGTCGTCGCATTCGTCGACTTTTATAGGTATCAAAGACCGAGACTTTAGATTGATGTATTTACTAATCCTATTGGACTTAGCAATGTTGATCACCTTGTCTTTCTATTGCTAATAATTCTCACTTCCTTTCAGCTTTAAAGCTTCGGGTAGGTTGAAGCTGTAGCTCGAACTCATCTTCTTTCGACGTATAGGTATAATCGCAGTAAGTGGTTCGGAAGGACTCGGAGGACTCGGAGGAGAGGGGGGTTCGCTATCGACTGAGCGCGCTAGCGACCTAAAGATCTTCTTTAAGGGAGTAGTAAACTCGTCTTCACTGGATGAGAGTTCACCTTTGTTAGCTTCGGGGAAGAATTGAGGGTATACCTTAAGCAGAGTTGCTGCTACGTATGGTGAGCTTCCTACGTCTGGTAGCGTTGGGTAGCGTAGTTGAAGGGGTGATGAAGAGATTCTAGGTTCAAGCACTAATGATGGTTTCTCTAAAGCAAGCAGTTCCTCTGCCGCCTTTCCTCTCTTCGTAGTATATTGATATTGCTATATAGCTAGGTTTGCCTTGACTGCAGCTTCCTTTTGCTTCTTGCTTGGGGAACCGCTAGTATTAGCTTCACTTATCGCTATACTAGCAGGTTGCAACTGAGAATCAATTGCGACGAGGGGTGCTATGGAAGCGCGTTCTGACGAATCGCGCGCCACGGTGACGAATTGTCAAGGGAGGAGTAAGTATTCTAACACGCCGAAAAGGGTGTTTGAAGTCTGGAAATACCTTGGAATGAATTGAATCAGGCTTCGGGGCTTATAACCTATTGCTGGTATCAATCTGATGATAATACTAGGTCACGAAGAAGCTTTGCTGATGTTGTGGTTGATTGACTTGTATTATCTAGGACTAGGAATTGGGGGCGAGGTTGTAGTGGGAGCATGCCAAGGCTGAGGTGTCCGTGCACTGTGCACGGACCACGCTCTCACCTTACACTTTACCTAGCAACAAGTACGAAATCAAGAAGGTCTAAATCTTAAGTTACAATTTAAAAGCAAATCAAATAATTAAAAAAAGATATAAAGACATTTTAAATAGCTTATCGAAAGTTATAAATAAAAAATTTAAAAATTAAGTTCGCAAATTCAATAAAATGCTTTTTGCGGTTTAAATATCGATATACGCATTTATTAAAATTACTTTTTTCTTTTTAAATTACGAACGAAAAGTTAAGCTACTTTTAAAATCACGATAATTAATTTAAAAGTTATTATTATAACAAAAGGTTCGATCCCGCGCTGATTTGCTTGTTATAAGGTTTAAATAATTAAAACTTCGAAATAAAAATATCGACGAGATCATTTTAAAGAAAAAGCGCTATCGACTTGCTGCTAAAGCTACTTAAGAACGAATCAAGGTTTTAAAATCGGAACTTATTAAAGAAAAAGACTTAGTACTGCTTTACGACGTTAAACGCAGCATCGATATATCCGCGGATATTAAGCTAGATTATAAGTAGCTAAGACTTTATATCGTTTTTAAAGCTTACGATAAAAGATATTACAAGCTTTAAGAAACCGATAAGACTAAGCTTAAAAGCACTTTTGCAGCTAACCGCTTTAAGCGATTCTATCGCTGCGATCAAACCCTCTTTCCTTTTAATAAAAACGACGAAGAAAAAGAAAAAAAAGATTCGGGCTCTTTAAATAATTCGGACCTTAATAAATACGAGCCTTTCGACGACGGTAAAAGTGAACTACTCAATTTAAAAGTGATCTTTAGACTTAAGTCTATTAATTTTTAAATCATTCTTTTAACACTTTCGAAAGAATAAAAACTAGCTTATAAAACTATTTTTTAGTCTGTTTCTTTTACTTTGTTTTCTTACTTTCTTATCTTCTTTTTATTCTATACTTATTTTATAAGAGGACGTGCTTTAATAATCACTTTCTTTGTTTTGATAAGGAAAAGTATTTTTTACGTTTATTCTTTTACTTTTAGATCTGCTTTTTATTATATTCTTTGTTTTTTCTTTATTCTTTTCGCTTTATTAGCTATTCATTTGTCTTATACAAATTGTTTTTATTATTTAATTTTTTTTTCACTTGTTTTAAGCTTATACGGCTATTTTTTATTTCTTAATCGAAACTGTTCTTTTGTTTTAAGCGTGCTTAACTACGTGTATTCGAAGGTGAACTGCTATTAGAAAGAGTAGGTCCTTTTTACAAATGTACTTATATAAGAAAGCTCTTTTCTTTTTCTTTTTAATATTTTTTCTTTTTATATAATAACAACTATAATAACACTATTATTATTTTTTCTTTATAATTATATAATACTACGCTAATACTAACGACTTTAATTATTATTTAATTAATTATTATCATTATTAGCTTTATCTCGCTATCTTATATTTAACTCGTAAACCGTAATTCACGAGTTAAATATACTTTTTAAGTCAGCCGCCGCTAAAAGAAAAGCTTTTATCCGGGATGCACCTTTTAGCTTACTAATAAGCGAAAAGCAAGCTGCTTTAATTCGATAATCGAGTTTCGAGTTAAAATTCGAAAAACGAATTATTAAAACTTTCGATAAATTCTTTTAAACTTATTATTAAATAAGCAACTTTAATCAATTAGCTATGCTTAAGATAGCAACTTCCGACTTTAATAACAAATTAAGTAAAAAAGACGATTTGATTTTGTAATACGATTAGTTTTTATAAGCCGAATGCGCAAAAAAAAATATAAACGCCGAAAACTTCTTTTCGGCTTACGACTAGTTTATTATTAAAGTCACCGCTATCTATTCTTTATATAATAAAAACGCCGAAAGATATAAACGAATTAAAAGAGCTTTCGACGACGCTAAAAGCTAATTGCTATACGACGACCACTTTAAAGCTATATATATTTCAGTTCGTAGCGCTCGCTAATTAAGCGTCATTTTAAAAACTTGCACTTTTAACGCTTACGCTATTTAAGTTATCAATTATTATATTGTTGCTTACGTCGCTTTTTAAAAGATTATAGCTAATATAGCTCGAAGACGCAAGTTTATTAAGCTTAATGCTACGGTAATCAACCTTACTTGCTAAACCGTAAAAGATAAGACTAATACTAAGTGAAAAGATAAGATCGCTATTTTAAACGAAAGACTTTTAAAAAAACTAAAACTAAAAGTCTTATTATATAGCTTATTGATTTTAATTCTCGATAATATTAAAAGCAAATACGACGAGCTTAAAAAACGTATAAAGTTTGCCGACGAAAATCAAACTTGGAATTTTGTTTTGCAAAAAGAATTCCAATCCGAAATTCCATTCGTAAATTATAGTTTACGAGTGCTAAATGATTCAGCAATTAAAGCGGGATTAAGTCAACCTTTTACTTTTAAGACCCTTTTGCTTAGATCACTTATTACGCGCTTTTTATTATTATTAGCTTTATTTTAAAAATCGATATCATCTTTTGCTAATAAACTTTCGAACGCTAAACTAATTGCTTCGATTATATTTATTTTACGCAAGTTTATTAACGCGAGCTTTTTTTTAGCTTTTGCACTTAAAGTGCAACGCGACTTTCTTAAGAACTAATTACTATTAGCATTATTCGTTAAAAAAAGAAATAGCTTCGAGTACGAATTAGCTAAAGCCGTATTAAATCGCTGCTTTAAACTCGTCGAGATTAAAGATTTTATAAATATAAACGTAGCCTTTATCAACTTTTGCTAAGACTTTTATTAATTAGCTTTCGATCGCTTAAATTTAAACGAGAATATCGATAATGCTTTTCAAGTTGCCGCGGAATTAATTAAAAAGGCTATCAGCTAGATCCGCAAGCTTTTAAAAAACGAATTTTCTAATAACGCGATCTTACGACTTTTCGACCGTCGTAGCTAAGTAAAAGTAAATAAAGAAAAAAGCAAAGTAATAAACTACTTTTTATTATTCGAGATCTTTAATTTAAGCTTTAACGACGACGATTACGATTGCATAAAGATCTTTTAAAAAGTAAGAAACGTATTAGAATTTAAAGATAAGTTTAAAAAACTTTTTAATTTAAACATTTAAACGAAGCTCCGTTTTAGCTATAAAGTCTTACCGTTCGTTATCGAACTATTAGATAAAGTCTTTTGCGAAGTTTATACTTTCGAATACGCTAAATACTTTAAGCTAGCTACGAAAGGCTTTATAATAATAGTAATTCGTTTTAACTTATATCGATTTATCGAAGCTTATTAAACTAACGTTTTTAATAACTTTATGCTTTACTTAAGCAATTAATCGATGTTCGCTATTAAGATTAAGAGTAGTACTTTAATTAAAAGAATATTTAGCTTAAGCTCTTTTAAGTTTAAAGCTAAGCCGATGTCTTTTAATAAGCTAAACTAAAGTATTAGCTTGATAGGCACCGTTTAAAAGAACAGCTTTTTTAATATTATAAATGCGAGTAGCTATACGAAAGTTTAGCTTATATTAAAAGCTTTTTTTTTAAACGATAAGCACGGCAATCAAACCTTTTTTATTATTATAAATAAAAAGATCTAGATATACTTGCATTACTTTCGGACTAATGATTTAAAAAAAGCTTTTATTAATATACTTTTTAATATAATGCACTCTTTAACTTAGCAAGTCTTTCGAAGCTATTATAAGCTATACTTTGCCGCTTTGCTTAATCGCCGAGATAAGAACTATAAGCTTATCGTTTACTCGAAACCTTTTTAGCTCTTTAAATATAATAATAATGCTCGAGTGATTGCGATTAAGCACGACGCTAATATTAAACGACTTATGAACCGTAGTTCATAAGTAAAAGACAAAGTTTTAGATTATTATTTAATGCTTTACGGCGTAAAAAGCTAAAT